CTCTTCCGATCCACCCGCCCGTGGCGAGGCAGCTTCGAGTCACTTTAGGCATTGCTATCGTCTCTTGCCAGGTATGGCCTGCGACCGGTGGCAGCGGTTGCGCTAAAGGTCAGGTGACGTTAGAGTGCAGGGCATCGCGGAATTTTAACTTCTTGCCTCTAAATTCCGCCACCGACCTGCAATAGCACGATCAAATGGCAGAGGTCAGAGCTCACACAGCAAGCACTGCTTAGCGTGAGGGATGATCCTAGCAGTCTATTCATTCAAAAGGCTCGCATGAACCCTTTAAAAAAGTTTATGACTTTTGTAAGCAGATGGGGAAGAATGTCCAAGTGTGCGAATGAAAAAGAATAGCTTTTATCTAGTTTTGCTGCAACAGCCGTCGTCAGTCACGGTAACGATGTGGAAGAGCAAGTAAATAAAGCTGATCGGGAGCAGAACTGACATTTTTTCCGCGTGCACCTTCCCTTACGTGCAAGTGCATGCCCGCTTTATGCTTATAAGCAGTGACCGTGATATTCCGGAAAAGAGAACTGTTGGACTAAAACAATGAACAGTGCTTTGCCCCATTGATTCAAAGCAGCGAAAGAGGAAAATTGCAGCCCTCTGCCGTATTCATCTCTTCTGCTGTTATTTGGGAGGAAATGCCCGTATTTGGTGATTGAACGTTGAATATTACCCATCACATAGAGCTCTAATCATATGCTCATCACGCAAACTGAAGCTCACCATTTAAATAACGATAGACTTCAAGCACCCTAAGAATGTGCGGGTGCATGTATTCTTGCATGGAGTCATCGAATATCGACAGATCTTACCAAAGTGACGCTTTTGGCGGAGAGCTATCGCAATGCGGTGCTATTCTGAGCATAAGGGCAAACTGTATTGATGTTTAAAGTACACGTCATTACACAGTTAACTGAAAGACACACATCGGTCATGTTTGCCTGTGCCGAAGTCAGCACATCATCGCACATGGTGCACCCTACACCGCCGCACACGGCACACTTGACACATTCATCCTCTGATGAGATCCGTCTTTGTCATTTTTTCCGTAAGTCACGCCATAACAGCGAAGTAGAGCACTCCATCAAATATCCACACAGTTCCCGTGGGTGTGACCGAACAGCCTGCGGGCAACCGGCCGAGCAGCGCATCCGCCAGGAGAATTTGTTATGAGGTCAGCACGCCAGATAATTTAGCTGTGAGTGGCTTAGAAAGCAGCAGCTGCAGCTTGTTCGCATCAGTCTTGCTGGCCGAGATCACCGTCAGTGACTTTGATGATCTAGTTACGGACAGTATCGTCTCGCTTCACACCGAGTGCGCCTTGCCGTCACCACGTCAAGCGATTGTCCGGATCCACTCTGGTGACCCATGGGACCCGATCATTCACCCGGTGTTCCAGTCAGTGATGGTCGGAGTTCAGTCTGACTCAGCTGATGTGACAGGTGACTGGCAGAGGTCTTCCTGACGCTGGTGACCTGGTCAATGTCCGGCGGAGTGCGTGCTGATCCTGATGACTCGGTCGGAGACCGGCGTTTGTTGACGGACAGGCGATGAACCCTGCCGGTCAGTGACCGGCGGGATCCATCCTGACCCTGGTGACCCGATCGGTGACCGGCGGGGTTCATCTTGACCATGGTAACCCGATCAGTGACCGGCGGGGTTCATCCTGACCCCAGTAACGCGGCCTGCTAGCAGCATGAGTGCGTACAGCACGCAGCTGGGCGGGGACAGCTTGAGGGCCCTCATGCAGGCTAGCAGAATCAGCCGAGGCAGCTTTCCTAGCGATGGCGGAGCGTCGCCTCGGCGGGGCATGACGTCACCAGTCAGATGACGTCACCAGTCAGATGACGTCACCAGTCAGCTGACGTCACCAGTCAGACGGAGACGGCGCCAGCGGTCCCCTCAGCGGCGCGATCCTCCGTCAACAGTCCTCTTTTTCTTTGCGCAACCCAGACTTGTCGATGAAAGAGTCACGTGTACCGAGCCTGATCAACCGTGGCGAACGTACAAGCGTGATTAGAACGCCAGTTGGACTGAAGTACGCAGCTCTTGTCAGGTGGGAGCCGCTCCCACTTGCCGCCTGGCCCCAGTTGGGTGAAGTCAGGAGCGGCGTCAGCTACAGGAGGAAGCCGCAGCAGGAGACGAAGACACAGAAGAATCCCATCAGGTATTTCAGCATCGTGACTGCCTGCGTGGGTGACCGCGACTCGTAACTGTGGCCTAGAAGAGGGGACTCTTGGACGCACTGGCTTCTCCTACAGCTTCTGATGCCTTACTTGCATCTCTGGCAGCCCACATATAGCTCACAGAGCCCACTCACAGTCTGGACTGTTCACAGGGGTTCACTGATGGCCAAAAGCCTGGCGTAATATGACAGGCCCCTGGCGCGGTATGACAGCCGTCAGGCGCGGAATGATAGCCGTCAGACTATAGTAGCTCTTCACGGACGAGTCAAACAGATGACTCCGCGCGGTGCCGGCTCTGAAAGCCCACGTTCCGGCTCTGGCACTTCCCAGTCCGGCTCTGGCCGGCCAGTCCGACGGACGAGTCCCGCCAACGGTGTGTCGGAGACGTTCAGCGACAGCCCGCCCAGCTTCGAAGACGCACCCGGACAGCGCACCGAACAGCGCCTACCGACGGCCGCGTCGCGTCTGCCTCCCTTCTCGCCGCCGACTGCGGGCCCTGGGACGGCCCTGGAGAGCGGTCTAGCCCACCGCCACTCTCGGCGGGGGGCGCCTGGACGGCTGCCCAGACCGGCACAGTGCCGGGGTGCACCACTTCTGGCTGCCGGCGCTGCGGGGGCGACCTCCCGCTGGGGCGGGCCCGGCTGCCGCCGGCGGAAGACGTATTCGGGGAGGTCTCCAACCGCGCACGGAGCGGAGAATGGGGTTTTCTGGTGGCGTGCTGCGAAACGCCCAGGTGCTTCTCATTTTGAGCCCCAACCCGGTCGCTGCGCACTCGCATGGCTGCCGTGGCGAGGCGTGGAGTGGCGATGAAGTCGGTCTATTCACGTCACATCAATATCTGATCATGCGTACCAGGAGCAGGCGCAGGATTCATGGAGGAGGGGGGGGGGGGGGGCGTGCACTGGGCGCAAACAACGTTAAACAGAATCGTTAGCGAGCCATTTCACTAATCGGGCTATGTAAAATCGCGTAGGTACAGTTTTGCGACCGAAGATCTACAATATAACATTCGCCTAATTCCGACACATGGGGTTGATAGGCCCCGGTTGCTTAGTTGTGTCACCTTGTGTTTACTGGTTCGATTCGGCAGTGCGGCAATACGCAGAAGCTGGCGATTTGTACCGCTAGAGGTGAACATCTCTAGTTGTGTTTGACCTTATTCCTTCACCTAACGATATATGTAAGCCGACCGTATCTGACTACTGAACTTAGATATATTCTTGACTAAACTGGGCAACAAGGGAATGACGTCTTGGGTGCTCTTTTACGACAGATAACGGTGGTGCTTAGCATCTCTTTCTTGAAAGCACTGGCTTACATATCATCTGTCTGTTGTCTACTGTGAATTAGACTATTAACGTTGTTGTTAACAGGTAGCCCACAAATGTGACTTTATGATTCGTCGCGTGTCGATCTAACATATTCCAGTACGACTTGGTTCGCTATTTAAGTGGTTTCGGTACTATCTGGTTCACGCACGTGCCGAGGATCTGGCACGCGTATGTCACCTCCAGCATCAGCTGATGTCCACGTTACGCCACACTTTGGGTGTACAAATTGCACCAGGGGCGAGGTTTTGGCGTTGCACTAGCGTCTAGGCTAATCCGAATCAGCTGGTCCGAGTAAAAGGGCTCTTGCAACACTGTCCACTTCTTTGGAGGTACCTCCCGAACTGGGAGGCAGGCCACAACCAAATAGTCGCCAGCAGAGTTAAAACTCTACACATGATCTGAAAGTAACACGCCATTACTATGACGAGCCACTGAAATATAGCCTCGTGTTCCATCCCACTAAAAATTGAAATTTTCTCGTCGCGAGAAAACCATGTGCAGATTTAGGGGTCCCACGACGCATTCTTGGCAATGCATCAGTCTTACGCCAAGGGTGTTCAAGGTGTGAACCGTATGTTACTAACGAAATCAACGCTCGCGACCTTTACAAGGCTCTTCCAGGGAAAGGGACACAATACCCTATGGGCGGCCTAAGCGTCATACCTCGCAACAGTTCTCATATGAACGTCTTCAGCTTTCTCGCGCACCGCGTCATGGTCGACCGCAAAGGCCTGCAAAACGCATCATCCTATTCGTCGTTAAATTATGCGCGATCGTCCTGGCGGTCTAACCGTGCCCTTAACCTGCACGAGGATGTTCGACGTCGCGGCCGCCCCGCAGTGTTCCGCCACGCGCATCGTGCCCAGCTGCGCACTGAAGTCTCGGCACCAGTGACGCCAGCGCCCCGGACACAGCTGATGGTAACACAACTTACAGCAAGCCAGGTCGATGAGTAAGATCGACCTGGTTCTTGCGCGGCAGCCTCTTGTACTTGGCCATCCTTTCGTCGTGAAACCAACGCATGGCTGGTCTTGTCGGATTGCGAGATGTTACGCACCTTCATTGGTTCGACCACCGGGCTTCGATGAACTGGTGCAAAGACACAAGTATCGAAAATGTATTATCGTTAAAAATACCCATTGGTAACATATAAATTACAACTCGTATCGTATCACAGCAACGGAATGATATATACAGAATGTACAGATACCGCGCGCATGCACACCGCCGGGCGCGCGCTTGGGCACTTGGAGCCGAGTTTGCCACGCAGGACACGCTATCGATTTACGCCGCCACTCTCTCTATCTCGACAAGCCATCTCTTGACTTGCTATCACTTGGCACCGTCGCCCCCGCCATCGTTCAGCCCAGCCACACATACACACACACACACACACACACACACATCAACACCGGCCGTGTCTGACAGGACCGGATCTCTTGACGACTACTCGAGACACAGCTCACACGAGGCAAGGTCAGGTGCGTCCAGCAGCCAGCCCGGCGTACACACCGCACTGGTGGACTGCGGACACGCGTCCTGCAGCGGCCAGAGGCACGCCTGAGCCAAGGCTGAGCGGTCTTTGTTCCCTGCTGTGGTCCGCGGTCATTTATCCGCCCGGCGTGCTCGCCGGAGGCGGGGATGGAGGCCGAGCCTCTCCAGTGGCCACCCACGGCTGGAGCGGCCCCAGAAGAGCTCCGCAGGACTGCACCTCGCTCAGTCCACCGTCCACCGTCCACCGACTCGCCCCCTCCCCCTTCGCAGGCACGCAAAGCAACGGGCGAAGCAACAAGCAAGGAACACTCCTCTTCCTGGCCCGGGGTTTTGACACCCCATCGTGAAAAAACAACAAACACGCAGTTGGACCTCCTTCTTCCCTGACAATAGCCAGGAAGCTACGCTTGCGAGGGGCAAGATCGACACACGCCGCGACCGAACTCGACCCAGCTCGGCCCGGCTCGCACCAATGCCGCTTTTGAAGCTGTGCACCAGCGCCGACCCTGCGCCGGCGGCGCCCTTACCGCTGCCCGTGTCTGCTGCGCCAGCGCCACCTCTCCCTAAGGCTGACTTCGCACCCCGGACCATGTACACAACTGTCACCAGGTATAATGTCACTCCCCTGTCAAACAGCCCAGTGGCCGCGCTTGTGACCGTGTGTGACGTCACCGAAACCAGTCGGCGCTGTCCCTGCTGAGTGGCCGACAGCAACCGCCATCTATGTGCCGCCCAGGACGACCGGCAGGCAGCGTAAGCTCCGCTGGCGGCCAGCGCATCCCAAGCATCCCGTTATCGGTGTCGGTCTGTCCCCCCGGTGCGAGGCCGAGGCCGACTCACGGCCTCGGCGGTGGTCCCGGCTCCATGTCACAGCCTTGGCGTCGGTTCGAGCCTTGGTCTACGTTCCGGAGTTCGACTTTATCTGGTTAAGGTTCCGGTCTTGTTCCCGCCGGGGGTATCAGAACCGGTTTTCTTCTCTGTGTCAGTATGGTTTGGTCTGGTCTGGTCTGGTCTGGACCGGACTGGGCTGGTCTAGTCTAGTACATTCTAGTTTCGTCTGGTCCAGTCTAGTATAGTCTAGTCTAGTCTAGTCTGGTCTGGTCTGGTCTGGTCTGGTCTGGTCTGGTCTGGTCTGTCTGCTCTGCCACCACCGGTCTGCAGCAGCCACGAAAAACTGGTACACTATTGCGAATGAAAAATCGTTAAACAAAATATTCAGGGAGAGACCTTTGTGCCGGCGTCAGGCCACAGTAAGCGGTACCGGTGACTGATCGCCTCTGATGATAGTCCGAGCGTAAAAGTAGTCTGTCATGCTAAATGCAAAGATGTTGAGCATCTTCTCATTTGTCACGCACGCGCCGGCCCCTGCCAGTACTGTTGGGATCAGCCTCAGTGTCAGCCAGTGTCAGTCAGCGTCAGTTCAGATCACTCCCAGTCCCCGCCGCATCAGCTGAGCTGGTGCGCCTCGCCAAATCAAGTGAAGAGGAAGAAATAGGCTTCCTGCAACACGCCCACATCTCGGGCATCTGTGGTCTCACTTTGGTGCCGCGCAGTCACCGATCCGCCGGTGTGGTGTAACCACCAACCTTCGCCGCAGTCGGACAAGAACGAGCGGATTCCATATTGCACGTTTTCGGGATAGCCAAGGCATATAAGCCGCCCCACCGCGGGGCGCCCGTCCCACCAAGCCCTGGCGTACCCCCAGCGTCCTGCCGGAGGACTTCAGCCGGTCACCTCCGCCGGCTCCGGCTCCCCCGGCCAGAACCGCGGCTCATCGGAGCCGCTGCGTCTCATCAGAGCCGCCGCGTCTCAGACTGCCTGCTCGCCGGCAGACTCACTAACCGGCGACTCCGCCTCGTCAGCATACTCTGGTTCACCGCCGCCCCGAGTCACCCACGGGCTCCGGCTCACCGCCGCCCCGAGTCACCCACGACCGGCGCCCCGAGTCACCCACGGACCCTGGCTCACCGCCGCCCCGAGTCACCCACGGACTCTGGCTCACTACCGCCCCGAGTCACCCACGGACTCTGGCTCACCGCCGCCCCGAGTCACCGATGGACTCTGGCTCACCACCGCATCGAGTCACCCACGGACTCTGGCTCACCACCGCCCCGAGTCACCCACGGACTCTGGCTCACCAACGCCCCGAGTCACCCACGGACTCCGGCTCACCACCGCCCCGAGTGACCCACGGACTCTGGCTCACCACCGCCCCGAGTGACACACGGACTCCGGCTCACCGCCGCCCCGAGTCACCCACGGACCCTGGCTCACCGCCGCCCCGAGTCACCCACGGACTCCAGCTCACCGCCGCTCCGAGTCACCCACGGACTCTGGCTCACCGCCGCCCCGAGTCACCGAGGGACTCTGGCTCACCGCCGCCCCGAGTCACCCACGGACTCCAGCTCACCGCCGCCCCGAGCCACCCACGGACCCTGGCTCACCGCCGCCCCGAGTCACCCACGGACTCCAGCTCACCGCCGCCCCGAGTCACCCACGGACTCTGGCTCACCGCCGCCCCGAGTCACCGAGGGACTCTGGCTCACCGCCGCCCCGAGTCACCCACGGACTCCAGCTCACCGCCGCCCCGAGTCACCCACGGACTCTGGCTCACCGCCGCCCCGAGTCACCCACGGACTCTGGCTCACCGCCGCCCCGAGTCACCCACGGACTCTGGCTCATCACCGCTCCAAGTCACCCACGGACTCTGGCTCACCGCCGCCCCGAATCACCCAGAGACTCTGGCTCACCGCCGCCCCGAGTCACCCACGGACTCTGGCTCATCACCGCTGCAAGTCACCCAGGGACCTGGCTCACCGCCACCGCCGTCACCCGCGGCCTCCGGCTCGCCACCGCGCCGACGCCGCATCAGACCGACTGGCCGCCGCCGCGGCCGGCACGCAGGCTCTCATTGACCAGCCGGTAGTAGCGCAGGTCGCTGACGAAGCGGTGCAGGTCAGCGCTGAACGTGGGCAGGTCGGTGCGGCGCGGCAGCAGGGCGGCCAGCGTACGCCGCTGCGGCGCGTCCAGGCCCGGCGTGTCCAGCAGCACGCCCGGCACGAACCGGTCGAAGAAGTCGGCGAAGTCGACGGCGGCCAGCTCGTGCAGGCAGCCGGCGATCTCGTCGCGCAGCAGGTCGTGCGAGCGCTGCAGCAGCGTCTGCAGCAGCACCGTCATGAAGCGTGCCAGCAGCAGGCGGCGGAACACCGGCTGCCGGACAGAGACGGCCAGGGTTAGGGGCAGGTGCTGGCAGCGACGGCACAGTGGCGACACGGACACCTGGGGCCGTTAATGGAAGATGTACGCACGCCAAACACGGTGATTACTTCGGTTCAGTTAGAGAAAAATAATATGTGTCACTGCGTCTCTGACCCCCGGCGATGGTAACTCACGGCAACATGGCAATACTCCCGACATTTCCCGGTTTTTGCTGACTTTAGTCGCTTTATTCCTGCAAGTTACTGCTAAGCCAGACACCGGTGTAAAACAAAGCTCTGTCCAGCACAGAAAAAAATACAAACCACTGACTTTTTGACCCGTTTCCTCACTAGAAAAAAATGCTTAGAGCTCCCAGGAAATTACTAATATTACCGTATTAAAAGGCCGTGATTTATCTACTGGGGCGTGTGATCCCACGTCGGCAAATCAGCCGAGACAAGCTTGCCCCCCTCCCCCTTCCTCTCCCCCTCCACCGCACTCGGGCCCGACCTTGTGGTAGAGCTTCCACTTGCAGTTGAGCATCTGCAGTGTGGCCAAGTTCAGGCGGAACACGTTGATGTCGGCCTGCAGGAACGACTGGCCCATGGCCTCGAGGATGGCCACGAACTGCTTCTCGTTCGTCACCTCGTCCTCCTCGGCCACGGAGCTGAGCGTCTTCAGCACCGAGCTCCTGCGCAGGTCAACGCGCACGGTTGACACAAGTTCGGCGGCGGCAGCCCGCGAACGAGCATGACAGCACCCAAGAGTGGAGCTTCCCGTTCATGTGTATTTCCGAGGCATTTATAGTCCAGCACAGCATGGTCGAAATAGCATGTCTTTGCTAGATCGAGCATGCATACGGATGCTCACCATAGATGCGTGAGAGCTCGGCCGCAGTCAGGTGTAGTTCTTCGCGATCTGGATTCGCGCGAGGGATCTGACCTTCGTCCATTTCCAATACGATACACCGGCGACCAGCTGACCGGCTGTTCAAGGACACACTTCGGTTTACGGAACCCACCGGGGTCCACAAACGGCCGACGCCGCCGAACGACACCCCGAACCCGGCCAGCAGCGGCGCGGCGCTCCCACCTGAAGAAGTAGCGCCAGTTGTGCTCCAGCACGGCGGCCAGCAGGTCGAAGAAGGGCACCTTCAGCTCGGGCGAGGCACGCTCGGCCAGCAGCGGCTGGAGCCGCTCTAGCGCCAGCTCCAGCACCGGCGCCAGCAGCCGCCGAAAGGCAGCGCTCGGCTCGCTGACGATCAGCCGCAGCAGCAGCAGGAACTTCTCCAACGCCGCGCAGCCGGCAGAGCCTGGCGGGGGCGCGGGGGCAGGGTCAGGCCGGTAGCGGGAGCGGAGTCAGGCCGGCAGCTGGGGCGGGGTCAAGGCAGCAGTGGGGGCGAGGTCAGGGTGGCAGCGGGGCGGGGTCAGGGCAGCAATGGAAGGCGGGGTCAGGCCGGCAGCGGGGGCGGAATCAGGGCGGCAGCGGTGGTGGCGTCAGGCCGGCAGCGGGTGAGGGGTCAGGCCGGCAGCGGGTGCGGGGTCAGGCCGGCAGCGGGGGCGGGGTCAAGCCGGCAGCGGGGGCGGGGTCAAGCCGGCAGCGGTGCCGGGGTCAAGCCGGCAGCGGGGGCGGGGTCAAGCCGGCAGCGGTGCCGGGGTCAAGCCGGCAGCGGGGGCGGAATCAGGGCGGCAGCGGGGGCGGAATCAGGGCGGCAGCGGTGGCGGGGTCAGGCCGGCAGCGGTGGCGGGGTCAGGCCGGCAGCGGGTGCGGGGTCAGGCCGGCAGCGGGTGCGGGGTCAGGCCGGCAGCGGGCGCGGGGTCAGACCGGCAGCGGGGGCAGGGTCAGGCCGGCAGCGGGGGCGGGGTCAGGGCTCCAGCGGGACGTGGGGGCGGCTGGGGACACAACACGCCGGTGGAGAGCGATGGCGTCTGATGAGGCCAGCTCGTAGACATACCGCGGCACGGAGCGCGGCGCCAGGCCTAGGTGACCTCAGTTCCTCGCACATGCTAACGTGCCTCGTCTTGGACCGCATCGCTCGTCCAGACAGTGATCTGGTTACGACGGGCCATCGGAACAGCCCGGCCGCAGCTTACGCTCGCGCTGCTGCCTTCACGCGAGCCAGGCACCAGAGCTCATCGGTCCTCATCGCCGGCAAATATGACTCGACCACACGTCAGCGCGCCCTGCCACAGGCTTAAGACTCTCAGCCGCCACCTACCCTCTTCCAGCATGTTCCTGGCCAGCGCGTCCCTGCTGAAGACGTCGATGAACATCTGGACACACTGCTCGGCGAACTGGCCGCCCATCTGCGCCCGCAGCGCCTCGAACGCCGCCAGGAAGAAGGACAGCACGTCCTGGCACACGTCTGCAGAACGGTAGCGCAGGGTCAGGCCACGCTTCTGTCGGACGCGGCGGCCGGGCAGACCGTCTCTTACGCCACATGTCGGCACGATGCGACCGTTACGACGGACGTACATACGACCGTTACGACGGACGTACATGCGACGGCTTGTGACGCATTGCACAGACGGATTTAGGACGTATTTGTATAGCAAGTAACACGTGCTTTAGACAGTCTCACGAGCTGTTTCGCTGGTGAGTGTTACACGACCGCGCGGGCCGTTGGCGTAACAAGGCGTCATGCCGAGCATCAAGGCGTCTTGGCGGTGGAGGCGGGCGAGGCGACATTATATGTGGCAGCCAGGCACGTTCCACATCGATGCCAATGGGTTTGATGAGTCTTGAAGACAATGCATTTTGCGAGAACGTACCAATACACGGTTGACGCTAAGGCCTCTGCGTGTTTAAATAACCATTGTAATCAGCAGCGCTCCATGATGGGTTGTGCGCCGCGTGCACCGCGCAGCTTAGACAGCGGTCCGCTAATGAACCGTTCGAGACCTAAGTGGCAAATACAATGTCTGGTTGTGAATCTGGTTAGCCTTGGTAATGTCTGGTTATGAATCTGGTTAGCCTTGGCAAATTTATTCCACGAGACCACTGTGTTTGTAATGACTCTTTGCAATCGCGAGCGACAGAAAGGCGAAAAACGCAAAACTGATTGATAGCCATTGGACACATAGAGCGCTTACTGGACTGCGAAGTTCTCTTGGCCCAAGCTCTCAGAATTTCTGTCACAGCGTCTTACATTTTAGATCGGTTAAGGAGGTGGTACTGACGGATTGCCGGCCTTTTACTGGCGCACCTTTGAGTCGGAACGCTTTCAGATCGGTTAACGATCTGTAGCAGGCTGCCGACCTTTTTTAAATCAAGCGAAAAACCGGCGGGCCCACTGTTTGCAAGGAATAGCGCGTGTTAATACGCAAACAACGAATCATGCTTTTGATAGTGCGAATTTCCCTTTCCTCTTTACTTAATGCATTATTAGTCTGGTGTCGTTGCGGAGTAACGTGTCAAGATCTGAATCCGGCTTTCTCCAGGGCTCCTGGGTTATTTCGTAATTTGTACACTTGACCCTTGTCATGTGATCAGAATTGGAACTGATATCGTGTTACTGAAATATTACAGCGGAAACCCACCCGATTCAATGGCGCCCCTGCAAATACTTAACAGTTAATGCTGCACAGCATTACATTAAGCTTCTTGTTAATGAAAACTACACGAGCATGCACTCGGTGGTTGCATGGTTTTTAACTTCGAGAAAACGTGACAAACGGGCCGGGCCACTCAAGTCGAAAATCCTCTCACGTTTCCAGTAAGAGCCTGCGGCCTCCGTTCACATAAATAAAAAGTTTCGCAACGCGCGGGATCCGAGCCCAGGCGTCTCCGGGCAGCCGGCCGCGTCGCCTGCCGCGCTCCTGCGGCGCCGCCGTCTCACCGGGCTGCGCGGCGAACACGGTGAAGACCCAGAGCGAGTCCCGGATGGTGTCCTGCAGGCAGTCGTGGCACAGCTGCTTGGTTTTAGTCACCTCGCTGCGCACGTTGGTCACGATCTCCGACAGCGTCGAGAGGGTCTGGCTGATCACGGGCTTGGCTGGCGGCGGAGGGGCGGCCGTCACCCGCCTGATAACGACGCACAGACGCCACAAGGCCGGCGGCCGATACCTGTAACGTCTGACCTTTGCTGACATCGGCACACAGCTCATCTCAGATCTTCGCGAGGACTGAAAGGGCTTGAGCCTCAGTCTCATTAATCAGCTCGACCCTAGGTTGCATGCCGTGGACTGGTTCAGTGTCGGATAGGAGACCAAGCGCCCTGGTTATGACCTAATCCGTCAGTATTACGACCTCACACAGCCGGCCAGGTCGTCCGTCCCGAAGACGCCTGCGGAACATTTGTGCAATGTGCAGCATTCGATGCTACAATCAAGATATATGCGCCGAAACAAGCTGAACAACTACAGGAAAACCGACCGACCCAGTCCTGACCTCTCTCATGCCGTCCCGACCTCCCTGATTCCATCCTGACCACCCTGATCTTATCCCGACCTCACTGATCCCGGTCTGATCCCCTGCTCTCGATGACTTGGGCCTGACCCTCCTGACCCAGACCTGACCTTCCTGACCCAGGTCTGACCTCCCTGACACAGGTCTGATCTCCCTGACCCAGGCTTAGCCTCTCTGACCCAGGCCTGACCTCGCTGACCAGGCACTGACCTCGCTGACCCAGTCCCGACCCCTGACCCCGTGACCCGGCGCTGACCTCGGTCGCGCAGTTCCCTGCTGTCGGCGAGGCCGGGCGTCAGCCGCAGCCGGCGAAAGTCGGCCGTCAGCGAGTCGAGGAAGACGGCCAGGTGGCGACGCCGCTCCTCCCACAGCTGGTCCCCGGCCCGCTGCCAGGGCAGCAGCAGCAGGCTCGACAGCGCCCGGTACAGCAGCAGGCGGTCCTGCCGGCCCAGCGCGCCAACAGGTGGCGGTGATCACCGCTCGGGTGCAAGGCGCAGGGTGTCACTGCTGACGTCATCAGTGTCGGTCGGCACCGCTCGCGGAGATGGGGGACGGTGGGAGCATCGAACCCAGACCTTCCAGTCATGAGACCAATGGTCCCTTATCCACTATCACACCACTTATAGCCTATTACACTATCCGGCTGGAAATGTCCACCCATCCCCACCCATCCACGCTGAGGGCGGTGCATTCCCCACCTGTCTCAGTGGACATTGCTGGCTTCCCGAATCAGTCTCAGTGTATCCGGTCGTCCTCTCAACCATTCCATCAAAAATGACTTCTTCCAAAACGCATCCGGTTTCCGCATGTACAACCACCCTCGTCTGTGCCAGTACACCGCTGCCCTCCTTTCGTTCCGTTTCGTTACACGCAGCCGCCTGCCGACACACTCATTTTTAAGAGCAAACCTCCCACTTCAGCCCCTCCAGACCTGCCCGCTCCGCCCCAACCATGCAGCTCACAGGGCCCCATTCCAGCACAAAGCGGGGACGCCGCGTGCGCGCGTCGCCGCTCGCCGCACCTGCTTGCCCAGCGTCAGCTGCCCGGCGCGACCATACAGCTGCTGGATCTGCGGGCAGTCGACCAGCGCGCCCGAGCGCACCGTGCTGGTGATGGTGACGAGCGTGGCGACGGCGGCGCGCACCAGCCGCGGCGGCGCGCGGCTCTGCACCGCCCCGCACACCGCCACCGTCATCTCGGCCACCAGGTCGTCCACCTGGCGGACGGGCGGCGGCGGTGAGGGCGGGGCCGGCGTCACCGGGGGGCGACCGGCTGGGCTCACCGGCGCCGTCACTGCGTGGTCATGTGGCGCTCGTGGGGAGCGCGGACTGTGGGCGAAGCGTGAGGCACTCTTTGCGTAGCGTGAGGCACACGTGAGGAGAGATCAACGCGAGATAGAAGGCCGTTGTCTATGTCACGGACGTCTGAACGGGCACCGCGGGCCAGTGCACAGCGGGGATGCGATAAGGCGGCATGGAAGCCAATCTGGACTCTTAACACGGTGTCTAATGGTATCGCGCAGATTCTGGTGATGACATCGAACAGATTCTGGTGGTTACATCGCAAAAATTTTAGTGATGACATCGCAAAGATTTCGGTGATAACATCGCAAATATTCTGGTGATGAAACCGCAAAAATTATGGTGATGACATGGCAAAGATTCTGGTGATGACATCGCAAAGATTCTAGTGATGACATCGCAAAGATTCCGGTGGCTACGTCGCAAACACTCCGGTGATGACACCGCAAAGATTCTAGTGACGACATCGCAAAGACACTGGTAATGACGTAAAGATCCTGGTGATCACATTGCAAATGTTTTGGTGATGACATCGCAAGGACTCTGGTGATTACATCGTAAAGATTCTCGTGATGACATCGCAAAAATTCTGGTGATGACATCGCAAAGATTCTGGTGATGATATCGCAAAGATTCTAGTGACGGAGGGCAGCGGTGGCCGATGACCTGCCCCGGCCACCGGCCGTGACCCGCTCTGGCCATCGCCGTGACCGCTGGCGGTACCTGAACGCTGGTGGAGAGGTGGCCGGCGAGCGCGGCCGTCATCCAGTGGCACCAGGGCCGCAGCGTGGCCAGGCTCTGGGCGTGCACCTCCACCAGGGTGGGCCGCAGCGCGCCCGGCGGCAGCTCGGCCTCGTGCAGCCGCTGAGCGGAGCCGAACGCGGCGGCGCTCACCAGCCTGGCGGCGGGAGACGGCCGGGAGAGGTCAGCCGCGCCCGGCGACCGGAGGCCGCTCACACAGCGCCGCAGCAGGGGCGCGGGCGGCCACGGAGCTAGCACGGGGGGATGGCACCCGGTCAGTCGAGCCCGGGGACCGGATGCCGCTCGCACGACGCCGCGGCAGGGGCGCAGGCGGCCACGGAGCTAGCACGGGGGGATGGTACCCGGTAGAGGGAAGAGCGCCAAACTGGAGACTGAAGGGTCGTGAGCTCGACACATACACGAACTACCGGTGGAGCTTCATACAGCTGCGATCCGATCGCAGTGTGTCCTCTGACTGCCTCCGCCACCCCGTCTCCGGCGGCACCGCAGAGCCCCAGCACCACTCCCTCGTACACCAGCGGGCCCCGACGCAACGCACTCGTGCACCAGCGGGCCCCGGCACCACTCACACGTACACCAACGGGTCACGGCACCACTCACTCGTGCACCAGCGGGCACTGACACCACTCACACCTGCACCAGCGGGCCCTGGCACCACTCACTCGTGCACCAGTGACCCCAGCACCACTCACACCTGCACCAGCGGGCCCCGGCACCACTCACTCGTGCACCAGCGGGCCCCAGCGCCACTCACACGTGCACCAGCGGGTCCCGGCGCCATGTATTCGTGCACCAGCGGGCCCTGGCACCACTCACTCGTGCACCAGCGGACCCCAGCACCACTCACACCTGCACCAGCGGGCCCCGGCACCACTCACTCGTGCACCAGCGGGCCGGCGTCCGGGCCGCACTCGGTCAGCAGCGGCGCCAGCCGACCCAGCATGTAGAGGTGCGTGGCCAGGTCGCGCAGCGCCGCCTGCAGGCGTGACGGATCGGCGTCGGGCGCCAGCCGCAGCCGGCGGCCGGCCGCCGTCGGCTCGCACAGGGACGGCAGCGACACATACGGCTCGAGCGTCTCGTGCCAGCCGGTCAGCTGCGGCACAGGGCGGCGCACGTCACGGCCGGGGTCAGCTGACGGGAGGGACCGTAACGGGGTCAGGGGCCGGGAGGGGCTCCGTCAAGCCGCCCATGTAGCTGGGGGTGGCGGACGGCGTAACCAACGGACAGCAGCGTCACCAGCGGATAGCATTGGCACCAACAAACTATTCATGCAGGCGTATGTCAAGTACAGAACTTGATATGCGATACGAACCCGAGGGTACGTTCGATATATGGTGAGCTGTCACATAGTAAATCGGAGAGCGCCAGGGACGGTGCCGGCGGGCCAAAGTACGCTTTCACTAGGACAGTGCATTACCTCAGGCCCCACCGCGACACAAATTCCCCCGCCGTAAGTGGAGTGCCCAGGTCTCTCAGCCACATCCGGAGCGCACGGCGCTGGGCCCACGCCTCGCCTTACGCCCGCCGTGCGCGTTCGCGGGGCGGCCCCCGCCGCCGCGCCGCCCGCCTCTCACCAGCAGAGCGCGCACGTCCAGCGGGTAGAGCGTGGCCACGCGCTCCAGCAGGTCGGCCGTGCGCCGCAGCAGCTCGCTCCACTCGGTCTGGCCGTCCGGGTCCTCGCGCTCGTCGTCCAGCCGCTCCAGCTCGGCGCCGTGCCGCCGCAGCTGCGTCCGCTGCAGCGCCTGGCCCGCCAGCGACAGCACCGCCTCGTGGTACCTGCCGCCGCAGGGGCACCGGCTCGATCCCGGGCGGCGGTCGGCGTTCGCCGACGAAGACAGCGGGATGGGGGTGGTCGTGATGCGGGGAGGTGGGCGGTTATGGGCATCTGTACGTGAACCGAGCGCTGCCACAACGTGGGGCCTGTCGCGTTGTTACATGGCCCAATGGTCGCGAACAAAAGAAGCTCGACAACGTATACTGGAAAATCGGGAGGAAAGCTTTGTACATAGCCACTCAGAACATCCGCCTAGGTGCCAATCAAGACAAATCGTTCAACCTCCATGGAACGAAATACGAAAAAAATGTTCAAAGGAATAAAGTCGTCACTTTTGTTCTTTCACTTCCATTTACTGTATGTGCCATTACACCCGAATCGACGCATCTGAACGCAATCCCAGCACGGCTCATCCATTTATCGAGTTAAGAGCAGTCGCCTGGCGCCTACCAGTGCTGCCGCCTGGCGGCCGGCGGCCAACTCACTTGGCGGCGACAGCCTCGCGGTTCTCAGTCTTGAGGCTGCACTTGGTGGCCAGATGGTCGAGGAACACGGCCCAGATGTCCAGGCAGCCGTAGTAGGCGTCCAGGTCGGGCTGCAGGAAGGTGTAGCGGAACAGTAGAGCCAGCAGGTCCAGCACCGGGAACTGGGGCCAGGCCTCCAGCCGGCGCAGGTGAAGCGTCACGAACAGACGCAGGAACTCGGTCAGGCCGCTCAGGTAGCTGGGGAGGGCCGACGGCGTCACCAACGGACAGCAGCATCACCAACAAACATTCGAACAGCAACGTCACCGACGACAGCAGCGTTACCAACGGACGGCAGCGCCACTAACGGACAGCAACGTCTCCACCGGATAGCAGTGTCACCAAAAAACGTACGCACAGCAGCGTCACCAACGACAGCAGCGTCACCAACGGACGGCAGCGTCACTAACGGACAGCAACGTCTCCAACGGACAGCAGTGCCACCAACAAACATATGCACAGCAGCGTCACGAACGAGCATACGCACGGCAGCGTCACCAACGACAGCAGCGTCACTAGCAAACAGCAGCGTCACCAACAAATAACAGAAATTTGGGAAGACTAAGGACACCTTACACATACGCAGTGCAAGGTACGATGTAATTGCACACTGAGGGCGGCGATTTAAAAGGTGATGTTGAACTGAAATGAACACTAAAGAGACACAGCGGTTCGGTACACAGGACAGCACAGATAGCTACATCAGCTCGTCCAGCCGGACAACCTTTTGACGGATGGCAGGGGAGATGCGCTTCCCGTGCTGAGAACTTCCTACTCACTCTGGGTCCACTTCTGAGAGCTTACAAGACGTTTTGCTCCCCTCTTCCAGAAGACGTTGCAGTAAATGGAATGTGTGCTTGAACAGCTGCAGCAGGAATGCTTCGAAATCCGGCGGTACACAGTTCTTGCTGCAAAAGTTCGCAAAATTGCTTTAGTTGACGCGGAGTATCCTGCAGTCCACGTCTAGCACATCATTAACCTCGAAACGCATCAACGAGACCAAAGCGTCTCCCAAAACCCTCACCGTGGTTAAAAAAGCTAAATCAAAACATACCGTAACAAAACGCATCGGATCGTACCAGCACCTCCTTTATAAAAACGTCTACGGTGGCACTAGCAAACTGTCGGTGTGCCGTGCTGTTGTAACTTGCGGTTCCCAGGCATCAGCCTGAATTCCCCCGCCTAGAGCAGCACTCCTCCCCGACGTAAACCATCCCCACCCGGAGTACGGGATGTGCAAAGCACCCGCACCAGCCACAGCCACGTCTGCCGTGTCTGGCGGAGCTCCAGGCCCCCAGTCGTACTACGTCATTCCGTGACTGATACTTGGAGCAGTCTTGGGCCGCGAGCAATGCTCAACATAGACTTGCTGGCTATTCTGTTCAGTTCCCCCACCCCACCCCACCCCACCCCACCCCATCCCATCCCATCCCATCCCATCCCATCCCATCCCATCCCATCCCATCCCATCCCATCCCATCCCATCCCATCCCATCCCATCCCATCCCATCCCATCCCATCCCACCCCACCCCACCCCACCCCACACACCACACACCACACACACCACACCACACCACACACCACACACACCACACCACACCACACACCACACACACCACACACCACACCAACCCAACCCAACCCAACCCAACCCAACCCAACCCAACCCCTACCCCCACCTCTACCCCCAACTCCACCCCACCCCCACAGATACTGGCATCGGCTGAAGCCTCGATCAGGGGTGGACATCCAAATGGACTCAGCATTGGCAGCATGGTCAGCCTCAACAGCTCAGTAAATGGCACCTGATGATCTCGTTGATGCAGGCGATGGCGATGACGCCCAGCGGCTCCCGCGAGCCGGCCGCGCCACCGCCCCGGTCCCCATCTGACGCGTCACCCTCCTGGGACAGGACGGCCCAAGTCACCATGCTGGCTTCTGCACGTCACCGAGGCTCAAACGGCGCCAATACCGCCGGCGCACGGCGTACGCACACGTAGGCACCCCTGTCTGGCGCTTCCTTCGCCAACATGCGGGGGTGAAACGGTACACCAAGAAAAAAAAACGGTCCAATCTCGCCCTGGGCAAAATTTCACCGCAATATCTGCTTACCAGTCAGGATACAAAAAATACATGGGCGAGTTGAGCGGATATGACAGCTTCCGATCTTGAAGCAACCTCTGACCTGAGGCGTGACCGCATCCGACCTTGAAGCGACCTCTGACCTGAGGCGTGACATCCCGCACAGAGTGCGGTTCGACTCGTGGTGCGGCCGGACTTCGGGCGTCAGTTGACTCTCAAATAGGGAATCAGTTCTGACAGAGGGCGTAACATCAGCACTGACCCTTGAGAAGCCCACGGAGGCGAAGTGGAAGACAGCAGTGACCAGCTCGGAGGTGATCATCGACGAGAGCGGCACCCACGAGAACAGCTGGCAGAGACATCTGGCGGAAATGGGGAAAACCACACTAGTCAAGCACACTGGCTTCACATTTTGTCACTAACACTTCCACTTGGATGGCAGTTGACTAAGTGCAATCAGCCAGCATTTATCAGCCAAATCAAGATGTTGTACAGTAACTGTAGTGAAGTGTGGTCATTTGCAAAAATGGTTCTCATAAAAATCCAAATTGTCACTAAAATATCCAGAATGTATAATGATGTGAGCTTTTGGCTCAAAGTCAGTATCTTGAGTGTTCTGATCGATTTCTAAAAGAAAACCTTGTGCAAAAAATAAACAAAACTATCAATACACACTTTAAATATATTCAACACAAGAGTTACAGGTGAGAAAAAAGATAAAAACCATTTTCTCTAGATGTTCATTGCAGGAACAGTATACAATGTAGTTTCCTTTTCAATCTACAGAACCACTTATCTTTCGCTATGCTTACTTGAGAGTCAAGGCAACGATATGCGTTGTCTCCCCATCTAGCGGCGCCATTAGACAGAAAGGGTTCTTATCGACGCCGTCAGATGTCAGAATGCAGCTGAGCAGTGTGCTGGGGTTGGCGGCCGGCGCGAACAGATGTTGCGCCGGGCTGCCATCAGGGCGGCGCTGCGATCGCGGTTGCTCGGGCGACGGCGGCGGCGTCGCCGTCACGTTGGACTTATTCGACTCGAGAACGGACCTCAAGATGCCTGAAAACGCCACCACTGCTTGAAGACATCGCCATGAATTACAGAGCATGGTAACTATCACAGTGGCAGAATCACCACCATTTAGTGTTGTTGTTATAGAGATCTGATACAGGGTCACGTGTTCTGCCAGTTGAGATACACTGTCCCCTGCCTGACATGATATTTATCAGTGCTGACATAGTCCTGAAATGTGTCAGTGCTGACATAGTCCTGACATTTATTAGTGCTGACATAGTCCTAACACACATCAGTGCTGACATAGTCCTGACATGCGTCAGTGCTGACAAAGTCCTGACAAGTATCAGTGCTGACATAGTCCTAACAAACGTCAGTGCTGACATAGTCCTGATATGGTCACTGCTGGACAAAAGGACTCTCAACCAAAACCGAACCCCATCCACTGAGCAGCTGTTCCCGCGGAAACACCACAAGTTGCCCGATGCAGCGCGAGTGCGTCAGCCGCGACCACACCGTCTGTGGCATCGTCTACGTCCTCGGCGTTTGCACCATCTCTGCCGGCCTCACTGGTAAGCACGGTGAGCGTGGCGGGCACTTCACGCAGCAGGAGCTGGCGCAGCTCGGCGCGGCGCGCGCAGCTGATGTCCTCGCGCGGCGCCACCAGCTCCTCGGCGGCCGTCAGCAGAAACAGCAGGCCCAGAGGCGCCGCGTCCGGCGACTGCACCAGCTTGAGAGCACAGCCATGGAGTCAGAGGCCAGGTCAGTGGGTCACTAGGTTGGTTCACTGGCTGAGGCCTAAGGGTCACCAGACCAGACCATAAATTGCTATAATCAGGCCTGGAGCAACACATGTTTTGCATTGTGACATCTCTATCTCCTCGGCTTCCATCTTCATACTTCTACCAGCTTTGGCTATCAGCCTCAAAAACAAGCCAGTATGTTCCACTGCTCAACCTTTCAGCTTGCACAATGACTCGTCCGGGTGCCCACAGCTCGTCGCACCTCACCCTGTCTGGCTGAAGCTCCCACAGAAAGTCGTGCATACTACTCAAGCTCCAGTGGATCACAAAACCAGCCTGCAACCTTCCCCTCTTTGGCCACACACGACACTGCCAATACTTTGCCCCAGCACCATGCAAGCCTCTGGCTGCCCAACAGCCTGCACCCATTCCCAGCTCACAGTGATTATGTTGCTGAAGAAGTCAGGGTAGAATTGGGGCCAGCTGAGGCGGGCCACGTCCACTACCAGCTTGACGGCCTTGTTGCGCAGGTACGGCGCCAGCAGGTGGTGTCGCTCCAGACAGAGCCTGTACAGGGAGCCCCGGATCTCCGCACGCTCCTCCGACCTCAGACCGAGCCACTGCTTGTTGATCACACTCTGATGGAGAGAGGCAGGCAGCGACTGAAGGCGGCGGCGGCGGTGCAATAAGACAGCAGATGGCAATGGAACTGATGGGGGAAAGGCAAATTTATAGGACATCTTTCCTGTCACACACCCCATTATTTTTTCAACTCGACCTTAAGCTCCCAAGTGGATAGGTTTTTTAGATCAGAGCTCATGCTGAGCAGTTTCCCTGAATGAGCCCTAACCTCCACCACCCATTTGTGCAATTTCACGTCAATGACCAAATTTGGTGGGAAAAATTTAACCTGCTGCACTGCTTGGCACACCTGCCCAGCCCTCTGACGTCACCTGACCTTTAGCGCGCGGCTGCCACTAGCTGCAGGCCAAACCTGTCAAGAACAACAGCAAGCGCCTGAAGCAGCTCAAAGCCACCCTGCCACAGGTGGTTGGATCAGTAGTTAGAGCCTCCAACCACCTGAGGTTGGTTGTTTTCAACAAACTATTGCAAGAAGCACATAAATTCCCCATCTAAAACAACATGAAATGTGCTTTGAATGAAAGATTTCACTATAGCCTCACAGTGCAGTACTATTTCCACTGTCCTGGCTACCATGTCAGCCATACCTCGAGTGATGTCATGCAGAACATGCTGACATAGGGGTTGGATGTGCCAGCAATGCAGAGCAGACAGTTCTTCCATGCTGCTGGTTGTTGGCTGAACTCCTCCAAGGCTTTTTCTATTTGCTGCTTGCGACTGTTTGTGGTGCCCGCCGCAAAGAACTCATTCATCAGATGCTCCAGGGCTTGTAATGAACTGACATCCATTGTCAGCAGGCTGCAATGACATTATTTTCAGTCAAGAACAGAAGAGAACAAATAAGACGCTATCCGCAACATTTAGATCACATTGGCCGCAATTTACCATTACACATGGGACTACCACAGATAGAAAAAATGTGGCAATCAGGTTTGCTTAGCATTACATCATTATTCATTATTTTCACATTATTGTTTGCATCACTACATCATTTAAAGAAAACAGGAATGATCACAAAACTTATAAACACTACACAACACAGTAAAAACAAATCAGATTAATTTGAATGAAGACTGTTGCCTACTCCATAATGAGCTATAAAGACCCTAGCCCTCAGAAAACATGCAGTAATATTGCACCCACCAAGCTGGAGCCCCTTTAATAGATCTATCAAAACATATTCAAAGTCATGGCTTATTGGGTCAGAAGCTTCAACAACTCAACATGTGCCATGGTCATGTGTTGTACATGGTATGCTACAAGACCAATAAACACAAACACTTTGTGTAGTGGGATCAGATTAGACCCTACATGCTACCTGCTCCACAGCTTTCATGATTTGGTCTAACCAATCTGAATCCATGGGTTCCTGCAATAAAAGCCTACATTGAGCCACGCTCACAGGAATTGACACTTTTGTGGCCAAAGTTTAATGTGGCACAATGCCTTGCACACTAAATCCTGCTTTTTTATGTCACCAGACCATTAATGAGGTTGCTTCTACCAGCCAGAAGCCATCTCAGCTGGGGGCAAATAAGTGATCGAAGCAACTCGAATCTGCCATGCCACGGGTGGGTTATTCCAAATGCATATGCTCTAACCAACTGAGCTACCTGGAAGGAAACTTTAAGGATTTAGCTGTTCACCTATTTAATCAGAAAATGTTATTGCTCAAATGCTGAGGTAGGCATTGCCTGAAAACAGAATAAGCCTGAAAACAAATAAGCATCAGGGCCTCCGTGGCAAAACTGCTTACTCAATTTGATACACGTGCATGCATAACATGTCTTAATAATGGTTAGTGAAATTGACCCATATTTGTCACTTCCACGACTAACCTACCAAGGCAGGTACATCGGAAAATGGGAAAAGCACATTGACAGCTTACCCACAATCACGAGCTTCAAGAAGTATACGTAGATCTGAACACGTCCGAACAAGCCCAGATGACTATGCATCCATAGGGGATTCGGTGCCAGTGGGTATCAAGCCCACTGTCAACGAGCAATGCCTATGCAACAAGCAAATACAGACACCCCTTCAGCGCATACGAACCGTAGCCCCCGCGGGACCCCCACCAGATCCCGCCCTCTCCTCCACAGTCTGCCGTCCTCAATGCGAGCCCAAAAGCCCTCATGTAATATGGTAGCTTAAATAGCAGGAAATTCACCTCATACCTTGCAGTTATGCATAACTATTGTCAGAATCAAACCATTGTACTGCATGAAGCTTATATTTTTATCATATTTTTCCTAAAAAATAAACCTCATTTGCAAAAAAATAAAAGGACACAAAGCAATATGGCCATTGCAAAAGTCAGATCTTTGCTTGTATACATAAAATTGCATCAATTGTCTGAGGCCTTCATGGCGCACCAATCCCTGAGAAGATTTTTTTACAAGCTGTCTGACGAGCTATCACTGTGGGGTGTTTAGGGCCGTTTGGAGCACGGTGGGCAGCGTGCAGAAATTGAAGTCGCATTCAAATATAGTGCTTCTTGTTCGTTTAGAGATAAATAATGGCTAGCAGAGCTGTCCAAAGTTCAGTTCGTCACGTCAAGCCATTAATATCGCACAACAGGGAAGAAGCGAAGTCAAGAGTGTTCGGGCTGTACAAAGCATGGTATAGACAAATGCCATACATAGGTAAAGATGGATAATTAATGACAGATGATGGTACCAAATCACACTTGTGTATTCTTCATGAACCGATTATGCTTATACAACAACTTTGCTGCTGCATGTTGGCAGATCATTGGCAGTTGATCATTACCACATCATTGTTTGGTTGTGACATTACATTGAATCATTTAACTGTTGTTGTTGTTAAAATGCTTTAGAAGGTGTGCAGATTTTGTGAGAAATTAATTGTGTTTGGTTTGAATGATCTGCCTCAAACTTGTGTTTTCTGTTTTAGTGATGGACTATGATATTCCCAAGTCTGTTGAACAATGCCGGGCTAAGCTGCGAGAGAAGTTTGAACAGAACCGCCATGTGAAGGACATCCGTGTAATTGATGCACTGGTGGTGAAGGTTGGTATCAGTTATTTTTTGTCACAAATATCCTCTGAAGCTCATACTAATGGATTCTTCAGGTATCCTTGTACCTTATAATAGAGGTCATTTGACAAGCTACCACAATAGAAGTTTGCCAATGTTTATTGTAAACTCTTTGTATAAGTATGTTATGGGCAATAAGAGAGTCTTCATAATCTAGACAGCCTGTAAGTATGAGAGAATGAAGGTTCTTTATTAAATATATGCAAGCAGGGAAGCATAGGCACCTAGGTATTTTTCCTGAGACTTTGGGAATGGTGCGTTAAAGATCCCTGTGCACTCAAATAAACATGCTTCACATCAGCATTCTCTATTCTTTAATGGCAAAAGAAAAATGTACCCTAGATTGGTAGAAATAAAATAGTGCAAGTAAAAGACTCCTTTGAACTATTTGCTGTAAGCCCATTGATACCCGACCAAAACATGTCCTGTGACTAAAAATGGTGACAAATTTTGGAGCATTTTGCACTTGAGATGTGTAAGTAATGAACCTTGATAATATTTTGTTCCCTGGCCAAAATTTCCCAGTAGCTTGAGATTGGTGCATGCAAATTATGTGTTCATCATGAATTTTGTGCATGCCATAGGTGGTGACACAATTGAACTGCATGGCCCATACCTGAATGAGAATTGAATGAAAATGGGATAAAAAGTGGCATGTACTTGACAACATCTACAAGAAAGACATGTCCAAACCAGACTTGTTTGGATGCAAGTCTGGCAGTCAATTCCAATCCTGACAAACAGCACACTGCTGATTCCAGTTCCGGTTCCAGGTAACACATTCCGATCTTGAGAAGATTTTGATTCAGACACAAGTTGCATCATGATTCAGGGCTTGAATCTGATGCAGCCATGCCTTCACCATCTGTTTGGGATGCAAACTGTATGTTAGGCTACAAGTATCCTGCTTTGTACATCAAATTTGGTAATTATGGTGATGTTATAGTGGGTCACATATCACAGCTGTCACAATGAGTCATGTAATACTACTAGTAAGACATAAGTGACATACAAGAAGACTCCTATTTAGCCTTTTGCGGACTATGTTGGACGGATCGTGATGGTCGGGGCACCCACATCACTGGTGTGATTAACATGATTTAAGAAGGCATTAAGCATATGCCTTCTCCGATTAGGCAACCATTTCTTTTGCGGCATGAAGGAAAACTGGATGGCGCTGCAGAAGGTTACAAATTACTGATCAGTTCATGTAAATATTTTGAGTCATGCGTAGGATTGCCGTTACGAATTTGACCCGAAACACTCACATTAGTAAGCGTTTGAGGAGGGTTCACGCTCATTCGCGTCATTCGTTTCGCAGATGTTGATAACTTGAAGTGGTGCTTGAACGGAAACCGATCCCTTCACTAGCCCAAATTTTACGCTCCAAGGCATCGTTTAAATAGCTGGTCATGCTTCCGAGATAGTTGCTTGCATTGTTGCCCCCCGGTCACGTGACCAGTAGTATTGGTTCATTTAAGTGCGTATCCCGTGGATGTTTTTTTTTCAAATTGTTTGCCCGTCATAATTTGGCCACAAGACTCATGCGTTATGCCATAATGCGTGAGTGCTCTGGCATACGGTGTGCCTATATGGGCGCAAGGACCACGTGATCAAAGTCCATTCGTTTTTCGATGCCAAGCGACCTCTCTCTGTATCCCCAGGGCCAGCAGGAGTTGAAGGAGACTGTGAACATCTGGAAGCAGAAGCACCATCTCATGTCTTACTACTTCAAGGAGTCCCAGGATCCCAAGCCTAAGGACTTCCTCTCCAAGTTCTTGTCTGGTCATTAGAACGTCATGGTATGTTATAAGCTCAGAGAATGTATGTAAATAGATGAATCATATAAAATGGAAGATATATTGATGAACACGGAAGCGGTGGGTATCGTGACTTTACGCACGGCCGGCATCGGCTACCCGAGATCGGATGTCTATACAACCCTGCGAACAAGATGGGCAGCCATCAAACTTATCACATTTCGCAACAGGTATACAACGGCAGTTATGACTTGGGCGCAGCAGCAAAGTGCGTACGCCGCGCAACACAGCGCGTTGCTGTGTCACCACCACAACCGATCAGCACTCTAATCAAGAACACCGCGAACCATACGTTCATGTGAACAGATTTCATCAAACCATCCGGATTACCGTAGCAGTACTTGGCAAACGCAATCGAAACAAGCCGCTGGTCTTTCATCCGTGCCGTCCGGTCCGCCGCACCGCCCTGCGCCGCCATCGGTCAGTCCCAGCCGGTGGTGACTACAGTCAAGGCGACGGCACACATCAGCACCAGCACCAGCAGCGCTGTCGGCACCACCAGCCAGAGCGGCGACGGGAACCACAGCCGCAGCGCGTGCCTTTCCTCCACGAACGGCAGGCCCAGCAGCCAGAACAGCACGTAGGCCGACAGCAGGGCCGCCAGCGTCAGCACCACCCTGCTGAACGCCTGGTCGTGGCCCAGCAGCATGGCGCTGGCCGCTGCGCTGACGAGAGCTGGCGCCGGCTGGTGACGACTGCTGAGTCTGCTGGCGCCGGCTGGTGACGACTGACTGGCGCCGGCGTGTGACGACGGGTACCGGCTCGGTCAGTCGGCTGGTGATAATTGGCCCTGGGTGTTGGGTTGGTCAACGTTGGCTCAGGGCGCCGGATCCGCCACAGCTGGGTGCTGGGCGGTCAAAGCCGACGGTGGCCGTCAAGTCGGTGAGAGTCGACGCCCGTTGGGAGCGTGCCTCGAAAAGCGCATTGCAATGACCCGTCACCGCCGCGACGGAGGATCTGTGGAAGGGGAGGATATGTTAGGCTTGGGGAGCCACAGCCGTGCGAACGCGTAGGAGTGCCTTCGCGGCGGAACTTACCTAGACAACCGAGAAATACGGCACGGTGCCAGCGGAACAGTTGCTCTTGTCGGTAAACCGAGCCGAGTGAATCTGAGCTTCGGTTGGCCCCGCATCGCGTACCCAAAGTGTCGCGGCCTGATCGGGGAACAAGTCACACGTTCGGACGCGAGATCATCGAAGCCTTCTTGGAGCGCTCGCGCGAGCGGGCGGCAGCGTCCAACCTTCTGCGCGTTTGTGCATAGATGCACGCTATATTTGAACGATATCCTTCAGGCATTCAAGTGCAGCACAGTCTTGTTGGCTTCTCGCTGGAGCACTACAGCAAAGAGATAGCTGGTGTTGGCGACTTTCACTTTATTCACCGTCCGTGGCATTGCTCTAACGCAGGGCTGCCTTCGTCACACATGACACCACACTGTTATCGGTTGAAAAAACATCCCGAGGCCCGGGGGCACCGCCGGACGCCGCCATAACAATGCCTTTCACCACAGCTTTATGTCGAGCATCACCTGCAGTCGTCAGCGCGCCGCGCTGGCATCTGTAGCGTCACGGTCGTCCGTAGTCCGCTCAGCCATAGCCGAGCCTTGGCCGACGTCGGCCGTGTCCTTGGACGCATCCCTGCTCACCTGGCCGACGCCGGCGCCAGCCCCAGCCTCAGCCTCAGCACCGTTAACCACTTGCATCTCTGCCGTTACTCCGGACTCACGACGCTCGCACGCAGCTTCTTCCTCCACTCTTTCCGCAGCCTCTTCTTCCTCCCCTCTTTCCGCAGCCTCTTCTTCCTCCTCGTCCTCGCCCTCGGAGGACGTGTAGCGCGGTAGATCATCTTCCGCTGCCGCCGCCGCCTTCTCCTCCTGCGCCTTCGCCAGGTACGCCTGCTGCGCGGCCACAACGGCAGCGCCATCTGCGCATGCGGCGTACGCCCGTAACAGTTCATCGTTAAGCGCCTCGAACTGGCGGCCCCACTTAAACTTGCTGAGATAGAGGCGCGCCTCGCGCTCGAACCCTGTGATGAACATGGTGGCGGCCAGCGCCTCGACGCAGGACAGCTTACAGGGCCGGCCGTAATTAACGGGGTTTGCGGCCACGAGGAACGGCAGCAATCGCGGGTGCCCAGCGCGCAGGCGGCCAAACGGCACCTCCGCCAGGCGCGCCCACGAGCAGTCCACCACGGCCACGCCGAAGTCGGCGACGGCGGTGCGGTCGGCCGGCGAAACGCACTTCTTGCCGACGGGCGTCAGCACCACACCGCCGAATCGCTGGCCCACGCGGAGCAGGCGCACCAGGCTATGGCGCACCAGTCTACGGCCCGAGCATGCCTTCGGGTTACAGTGGCCGAGGTCCCACATGGCAACGGGAAATGGCGCCACGTCCACACGGTCTGCCTCCGAATCGCTGCTGCTGCCATCGGACGACGAATCGGTGAGGGTGAGCTTCGCGGCTTCATCAGAGGGGGCGGTGCTGTCGGAACGGCCCGCAAGATCGTGCTTGGCGTCGTGGGCTGTTTTACGGCCGTGTTTGCTGCCGGTGCTGGAGGATTTGCCCCCACCACGGCGCGGTTTTCCCATGTCAGTCTGCGTGCTTTGCTTTCTGTATACAGAAGAAAAGGACTGAAAGGTAGATAATGATAACCTGACAATAACACTTATAAATACCATATGGAAGGCAATACATGTTTTTGGGGGGAAAATAACAGCAGACTAGACAAACATGTATGTTGCAAATGATGTTACAAGTTGTTTCAATATCATTCAAAGCCTTTTGTTATTACCTGCAAATGTCAGTACAAACATTGAATTGGACATGACTCACACATGCACTGTCTTGTGCATTGTTCATCCAGTTTAAACATACTCTAGTGTGGTGCAAATAGGCCAAAACTATGTGACAAAACACCAAAACATGACATATATGTGTTTCAGGGAACAATTTGCTATTATGCTGTTATATGTGGTCAAAAACATAAGTGGTCAAGTTCTCCAAGAAATCACTTGGGTTGTGCCTTCTCCCCACTCAAACCCTATCACAGTAACTGGGAGTTGCTATTGTCATAATGTCAAAGGTGGTTAGCAAAATGAAAACTGGTCAAAGTTTTGGGATGCATCATCCATGCCATAAGCATGTTGCTTTGCAATGTTTATTGTGTGAAGGCTTGTGAAAAATGTGTCAAAGCTAGCAAGGACTTTACCACAAGCCCTAGTTCTTTGGGCTAAAAGCATATACCAAAATACAGATTCCTAGTAATACTTAGCCTTTCAATAGCCAACAACTACCCCCAATTTTTGGAAAATCATTCCTGCATCTGCTTCATGAAAAGGGGGCAAAGGTAAAAATGTATTTTAATGGTTCTTTGAAGCATGTTTGAGTTTAAAAATATGAATGCAGTATTGTTAACTTGCATAAGATGTTTGGAGAGAAATGCTGCCATATGATTTCCCTGGTGTTTATTCAATATCCATTTCACATGAAAATACCAGCATGGTTTTCAGCATAAAATGTAATAAAAATACAATATTCTTATGTCCATATGAGTCAGAGATCTCTAATTTGCAACAGATAACCATGAAAGATGTTGGCCTTTTTTGTAGACTGACTTATTGTAATCTGTATCTCATCCAAAGATATTCATTGCTCAACATCAAGAACAAGGCAATAATGGGTATGATGTCTACACCTCTATGCATGTCAACAACAATCTATATTTGTATTTTCACTGCTATAATTTATAAATACTGGGAGCAATTGTAATTAGCTGATAGGCATTAGGAACCAGCGAAATTCACACTTCCGTTTCTTCACGTTACAGGTCAACAACACCTGATATGCCGCCTTTCGAGTTCGGAATAAATCCGGGGTCCTCTGAAAAAAATTGCGCAGAACCAAGGCTACATATGTACACAGCGCACAATCAAGGGACCTTACGCGGAACGGCGGAGAATGAGAGAGTAAACATGTGTAAAGTGTGGGTTGCGATCACGGCGCGCTGTTGCGCCAAAAGGGCTGAGCTGCTTATAGATTCAGCTGATTATGGCTTGTGACGTCATACAATATTTCTACAAAACATAGATAGCGTTGACCCGAATGTTTTCTAGCGCAACAACATTTGTCGAAACGTGGATTTGGTAACGGCAACTCAGCGGATGAAATATCACCGAATGGGTAATTAAAAGAGTATGCATAATCGAACCGTGATTTGACGAACGGTGGCAAGCGAGGTGATGAATGCGTCGGCTGGTCTATTTGCAAACGTTGTCGAGTGGTCGCGCCAATTTTTGCGGATGCGTATTAATAGGTCCAGAGTTCATAAAGTCCAGTGGTCAAAAAGTCCAGAATTGCAGCATCCAGCGTTCATAACGTCCAGACATCGTCAAAACCGCTCGACAGAGGAGAATCATAAAGTCCAGCGCTCATTAAGTCCAGTGTTTGTAAATTCCATCGTGCGTGAGACCCACAGGTTGGGATATTGTCCCACTTCCTCGCAATCCTACATCTAATCGTTCGGATACTGCGCGATAGAGGGTTACCGGAGCCGATTTTGCCCGTCTCAGCCGACGAGTGACGTCATGCGGTACAGTACTTCCCAGTTAAACCGCTATGCATGGATGTGGACGACGTTTTGTTTGAGCTCATCAACTTTGCCGCGTCAGGACGCCCCTGGCAGCAGGCGCATTAAATAATTCAAAACTTTGATCTCTGGCTCGTGGCATCGGAAATAGCCGGTTACACGGCAGTCGCTGCACCGTAATCGTGGAAAGCACTTGCCGGGGTGCCCGCTGTTTGGTGTTGTGGGCTGTGGATAGACTTATCCGCGGTATTTTGTTCCGTAATTTAATGTATGTGTCGGTGATGTTTCTCATTTTTTGAAGGAATTGATGACTGATGTGTAAGGCGGACTGATTTGATATCTGCTCCAGGTAGGCGCGCATATAGATCTTCAGGTCCTGGTCTGCTAACCTATATTGTTAATGACCTTATTTGGCTGATTCCCCTCCCTCCCCCAATTGCAAATTCTTTCACACGCTCCTGCAAACGAGACTTATTTAGAATTCCACATGTCTTTACTCTTAAAGAGAGAGGGTGGGGACTGCCCCATCAGCTGAATCCGGATACTACTCTCTGGTGAGACACGTTCGATGGCTCAGCCTACAAACGATTGGTCTCTTCAATCAGGTACGTTTTAAACGGGCGTGGTTTACCAAAATAAGTCGGTTGGCTGTGCGATGAAATTACAACGCAGAGTATCGTAATAAAACGCCAACAAATTGGTTTATCCCCGAATTTGGCTAACTTTTCCACAAATCTGCAGGCTGCAACTCAAGGTACGGCGGAATATGAAACCCATGCAACTGAATAGGGAATTGCACTCCTGGTTGAGAGTAAAAAGGAAGTAAAAGAGCAAATATTGACTACGAATGTATTTAACCGCCTTCCAAACGTTACACAAGACACTACGCACGTGCCGCGCTTAAAGGCACTGTTGATTCACCATATGAACAGCGGAGCCGAGTGTATGTCACTGAGCTGATTTGCGATCTATAAGCTGAATGAATTGGGAAAATCGTGAGCTTGTATCGCCATCCACTTCATCAATATTGACGTGCTTTTCCCTTTGAAGTTTCAGAACCTCTAAAGTATATAATTTGGGGTCCAGCAACACTAGTCTGGAGTTTATCGAGACGGGTGCAGTTTGCGCCGCAGAGGGGCGGTGGTGGCATGGTGGTTTGTGGTTAGGGCTCTCGTCTTTGGACTTTTGTATCCTGGGATGGAGTCCTGGCCACATCACTATGGCATCCCACGTGCCTAATACCTGATAAATACGTAATAGAGGCGTTCCGCCTCGAAATAGCCGTAGCAGCCGGTGAGACGTAAAGCCCCAGTCGGTATTACAGCCCGTCTCGACAAACTGCCGCCGCCCAATTTGCAAACAATGCTTCCGCTCCAATCACCGTATATACGTGGGAATAAAAATGTGCAATCGGCAGGACACGGAGCTTGGACACACACACCAGCCCAGAGGCTGCCCAGCTCGACGGTCCGGCCGGCAGCTACGCTATCGGCGGGCCGGCGGGCGAGAATGTAACCCCGCCACACGCGCGCGGGGCCTGTGCGTGCGGCAGCCCGTCCGCGGTCGAAACGCTGCCAGCTCAGTCGGGCACGCCGCCATCTTCGCGTCAGGGTCCCAGGCCTCTGACTCGGTTTCACTCGGTTCGCTGCGGTACACATTCCGGCGTACCGGACATCCGGACATGTCGTACATCACGGGTTTTCGCTCGTGCTGGACCGGAGCTCCCCCCCCCTCCCCCCTCCTCCTTGACAGGCGTCTTAATGGAAGAGCCTCGTGTCAGTCAGGAACCAGCACCGGACAGGGTCCCTCTGCCCGTTTTCTGTAGGGCCCAAATGTGTCAAACTGGAACCCCTGCTATTCATTAAACCCGCTACGCTTGGGACCTTTTTGGGTCGGTGAGTGGCCCCACGTTGATCCAGGGTCAATCATTCCAGTCAGAAGGCCTTCTGCGTCAAAGAGGGGACCAATGTGTCATCTGCATTAATAGTAACCGACTGGAAATCTGAAAGGGGACGGAAAGGTCCTTCAGCCCCAGTTGGGGAATGCATGGGGCCTCAAATCTCTGCGGAAAACTCTATTGGGGTCTGGCTGTTGAAGGGGGTGGGATGGGGGGGGGGGGGAGAAGGGTGGAGGGTCCAGGAACCCCTGGGAAATGTTCTTTTCGGAAGCGTGAAGTCCAAAAAATTGCCACACTGAATGAGAAGAGCAAAAATATCGCCAAACACAAATTCTGACAATACCTTAGCAGTGTCTAGCACTCCAGGAAGCCCCCCTGGTGAACTCGTGGAGCCCCCACTGGCCGCTCAGTTGGGACTTCCTGGTCGCCATGGGTGCAACCTTTTAAACTATGGACACTAAGGGAACTTGAAAACTGGCTAGGATGCCCTGGTCGCTCAGCGGTCTCATTCACCGCTCAGGTACCTCCAGCAGCGCACACAGGAGATGTACAGGGGCCCGTGCCCCGCCCCCTCCCGCCCAAGGGCTCTGGGGACAGACGATCAAAGACCCGATTCGTGCCTCCGAAGGGCCTGAGGGGCTCGGTGGAGATCGTATTAGGAATCCCAGCCCTGCGGCCCAGGTCCGCATAACCGGTATTATTTGCGCATGACCGATATAACAAAAACTGATGTATGTATACATGAGATCCATGTAAGAACAAGCACGAAATAAATTACGTAAGTTGTTCAGTGCATTAGCGAAGAACATTGCTCACATAAATGAGACAACAGTAGTATTAGCCTTGTTCATGGGAGAAAACGCCAGGAGAATAGAGATATAGTTGGGTCGATATTTCGGCAAGATGCCGTTATCTAAACAGGAGCAGAAGTGAATTTAAAATTCCCTGTCGATGATCCTACTCGATTTTTCAGGTTTTTTTAACAGCAAGCCATAGCTTTTACAAGACACCAACATTCAGGGAATTAAGCAAAGAACGATTGTCCGCCTTTACCACGATACAGTGCTTATCTAAGAATTAGAATGACCGAACATACGTGTACACGCAAACAAATTTAAGCGAATGGGTATCATGCATCACGTTTCATTCCAATATGCAAACAAGTTGAGGTGAACAGAATGCTGCGGGCTCGTCTAGCCCGCCGTACCTCATTTCTATCCAATATTGCTGCTGTTGTTGCATGTTGTACCCCTTACACACTGTTTCTAAGCAATACCGGCTAAAGTTCTTTGGGATAAACCACTGGTGAATGGGTAGCCCATCTGTCTCTCAGGGGCAGGCTGGTAGCGCATTTCAGCAATAATGTTGTGGCTCTGGTGCAAACCAACGCCACTTCCCAGCTGGAACTGCTTCATTGAATGTGCCAGGTCGAAAAAATTCGGCTTGCGGAAATATTTATGCTTAAACCAACCAGCAAAGAACAGCGTTTTCACACCGCCATAGCGTTGCTGCCATATGACTTAATCCCATGATAACGCCGCAGCATCGCTATCCATAATGCAGTAATGCGGGGGCTTGTTAACACACGTACTACAATATCAACTTCGGGTCATGGCTATGGTCATGACCCGATGGGGTCATTCCTCTCCCCCTTTGGTTCAATGAGGTTTGGATCCCTTGAAGAGGCACCAATTCTCATCGTAAAGGGGCAACAATACCTTCATTTCGGAACCACATAACCTATATTTTTGTGAGACACCGAACTGCAGGGACACCATGACGTTCGTGCCGTGCCCTTGACGAAAGCCCGCGTCGGCCCATGAGGTGAGGGAGCACCAAAGCCTTCATTTCGGGGCAACATAGCCTTTATTTTCAAGAAGCACGCAGTTCCACAAAGTACTAGAAAGGGCCCTAGCTCTTTATTCTGAAAGAGCCATTAATTCCAGGGGCAAAACTATGTTGAGCTTTCCGCCCTGATAAAATACCAGGCAAGGTAAGGAGGCACAAAAACCGTCATTGGTGGGCGGCATCATCTTGATTGCCAAACGGTGATAAATGAAAGCGGGCCATTTACAAAGCCCAAAACCATAGTTTTAAAAGGGCGCCAAAGTCCATTGGCATTGCAATCGGTGTGACTCTCACTATGGAAAAATTCTGAATCAGACCGTTCAGGCAAGGGGCATCCTGTCCAGGGAAACAGGCACCAACACCCCCCGTTGTCATTGGGGCTTTACGACCGGTCATCACAATGCCCGTGCCCCTCCATTGACGAAATCCTGCATCGGCCCATTCGGCCAAGCGACACCTTTCTTTCGAACAACCACTGCATTAATTTCCTTGAGACATCAAATGCAAGTGGGCGATTGAAAGAACAGTTGAAGGTGGTCCAAAACTTCCCTTTCAGGGGGCACCGAAATACAAGGGCACCACAATTCCCCTGCCTTGCATTGTTGAAATCCTAGCTCAGCTCCTACGGTGAATAGGCAGCAATAGCCTTCATGTAGGGGCATCATAACGAGTA